TTTTTTTTTTTTTTTTTTTCATTTTTTTTTTTTTAATTTATTTATTCATTTTAGTTCTCGGCAGACACAACATCTTTGTTGGTATGTTGGTATGTGGTGCTGAGGATCGAACCCGGGCCGCACGCATACCAGGCGAGCGCGCTACCGCTTGAGCCACATCCCCAGCCCCTCTTTTTTATCTTTTATTTAGAGACAGTCTCACTAAGTTGCTTAGGACCTCACTAAGTTGCCAAGGCTGACTTTGAACCTTCGATCCTCCTGTCTCGGCCTCCCGGGCCACTGGGATTACAGGCCTGCACCAGTGCGCCAGGCCCAAGTGTTCTCTTTTGCTGCTGCTCACCACTATTTCAGGGCCACTCCCAGCTGGGCATTGTTCCCAGCCTTGGGTGGCTGACTCGGTGTGGGGTGGACTCAGGACTCTGCTGCTTCCTGTGCAGAGGAACACAAGTCCTTGACCTCTGCCACAATCCTCAGACCTTCCTTTATTTTGTGTGTGTGGTGCTGAAGATTGAACCCAGGCAAACACTTTGCTAACTGAGTTGTATCCCCAGTCACCTGAAGTTCCTGGACCACTTCCCTTTGGCCTGAAGTCATGTGGACCCCTGTGCACAATGACTGTCATATGTGTCTGATGAATGGTGGGTGAATGGGGATCGGGGTGCAGTGCTAAGAGCAGCTTTTGGAGGTGAAACAATTTCTAGCCCCTGGGTGTTCTGAGGTCTCCTCCAGCTCTGTGAGATCAGATGTGCCTGGATTTGGCCTTTGGCCCTAACCCTATCTCAGTTACTGGTAATGTCCAGGTGGATGAGCAGTGTAACAGAGGTTGAGTCTGAAACATTGTTGGTGGCTTGGGCTTTCTGGGTTAAGTTCATGTGGCCTTGGTTTCTGCTTCCAGCCCTTAGGTGTGACTGTCACTGGGTTGTTCAACTGTAGATTCAAGGTCAGGTTCAGCCCTGAATATCTCTAGTGGAGTGGGAGAAGTAGAAGGAAGGGCAAAGTATGTTGAGCCAGCTTGTTGGAGGAGGGAAATGATTTCTCTTTTTCTAGAAGTTTCCAGCGTGCTCAGTTTCATAACGGGTCTATGACTTTAATATCAGCAACTTAGCTCTGCCAATGACTAGCAATGCCATCTTGCACAGGGCGCCCATTGCTCTGTGTCTCAGTGTCCTTGTCTGTGAAGGTTGGGTGATTCCTACCCAAGCCTCATAGCATTGTTCTTAGCTTTAAATGAGTTAATGTGGGTCAACACTAGAAGAGAACCCGACACACAGTAAACACACCATAACTGCTAGCTGCCCTTATGAGGGTGGTGGCAGTGATGATTTTTTTTTCTCCTCATTTATGTGCCCGAACATTTGTCTGAGAAGAATGTAGGAGACTTGGATATTGATATCGATGTAGGAGACTTACAGAAATAAATGAGGATGACATTATCTCCTTTCATGTGTACTTGAGTTGTTTCTGGAGGTGGCCAGGAGTCAAGCAATTCCAAACTAGCTTAATTCAACCTCAGGGCCTGAGCGATGGGCAGCTGGGCTGCAGACCTTGTGGGCTGGCTCCTCCATATTCCTAGCCTTGATGGTCCCAGCCTAGGGTGACCAGGTGAAGTGTGGACTCTATCTTTGTTCCCCTGCCTCTCTGAAGCTGACGCAGATTGCCCAGCCTCCTTCTAGAATTGGCAGATGTGTCCAGGGAAGACAACTGTAGAGGTCCAACTTACGGCTCTGGGTTCCCTGCCTCAGGTTCATGGTTCGGTAGTCTTCCCCTGCTTTCCAGCATCTTTTAGCATTTCTCTCTTCTATGATATTTGTCTGCTTTTCTGGTTGTCTGAATGAATTCATCTGCCATTACTGAAGTGGCTGCCCCAGCTCCATCTGTCTCTGTGTGAGCCTGGCTGCTCGCTGTCTCCTTGCCTCGATTCCATCAGCTGTACAATGAGGAGTAGTGAAGAAGTTCAGCATCCTGGATACTGATCCTTAGTATGTCTTGACTAGGATCCTGGCACTGTGTGGGTCCACCCAGGAGCCCAGTCGCATCTGTTTCATGGTCAAGGAAACTAAGTGGGAGACAGTTGGACCACTGGGAGTTAGGACTTGAACCTGTTTTTTTTTTTTTTTTTAATACTTATTTTAGTTATACATGGACACAATGTCTTTATTTTGTTTATTTATTTTTATGTGGTGCTGAAGATCGAACCCAGTGCCTCATATGTGTGAGGCAAGTGCTCTGCCACTGAACCACATCCTCAGCCCTTGAATCTGTTTTATCTGGCTCCAAATCTTTACTTCTTTATTGACTGTACTATCCCCCTAAAAGGATGAAGGGAGGCAATAAATAGAATTCTTCAAAGAAAGACTTGTGGTGGCAGAAACAGTGGGATAGATTTAGGGGGTGGTTCCTGGTGTGGGGGCTGGGAGGGGCTGAAGAGGACCTCTCTCTCACCCTTCCTTGTTTCCTCTGCAGAAAACCCTGAGGCATAAGCTAACCGTCATGTGCAGTCATATCGGCGGGGCGACAAGAGCACTGGAGGATGTAAGAGCCAGGCAGCAGAGCTTGCGGGTGAGTAGCAGTTCCCCCCACAAACAACTCCCAGCCTCCTTTGACCTCCAGCAAAGACAGACATGGCTCTGACCTGGACAGCACTGGTTGCACGCACAAGAGTCAGAATTAAGCAGCAACCTTGCAAAACAGATGAAAAGCTATGTGCTTGAAAAAGATCCCTCACAAGCTGCAACTGAGAACTACCTGTAAGCCCAACCAACAGTGCAGGAGTGATTACAAATCAGGTTTAGCGCTAGGGATGTAGCTCAGTGGTAGAGCATTTGCCTAGCATATGTGAGGTCTCTGGGTTCAAGAAAAAAATTTTTTTGAACAAGTAAAAAGAAATATTAGATATTCAAAGACTCTGTCCCCAAGCCTTCTGTTTTATTGCAGCACCTGTGAGTTTGTTAGATGAGATGTGGTTATAATACCAACTCTATTATGTACTAGCTTTTGTGGCCTGGGGCACCATGGCAGATCTTGGAGCCTTAGTTTTCCATTCTGATCAGTGGAATCACAACTCCTCACAAAAGATCCAGAATTGCACAAAGTGCACTTTGTTAGGGACTTGTGGAGAGAAGTGTGTCTTGGGTAGCAGCAAGACAGGAGGACCCCCAAACTCCAAGGCAGGGGGAGTGGGTTTATGTGCTGAACTAGGCAAAAATGGCCCGTGGCTAACTGGAATGCACCTGTCCTTTTGTAGAAACTATCACCATGCCCAACATCTGTTAAGTAATGAATGGTCTAGGGGGTTGGGAGATGTAGCTCAGTGGTAGAGCACTTGCCTAGTGTGTGTGAGGCACAGGGTTTGATCCTCAGCACCACATAAAAATAAATAAAGGTTTAAGAAAAAATGAATTTTTTTTTTTCCTTCCGTCATGCTGGGGATTGAACCCAGGGCCTTGTGCATGTGAGACAAGCACTCTACCAACTGAGCTATATCCCCAGCCCTTAAAAAAAAAAAAAAAAAGTCTTTAAAAAAATACTTAAGAGAAAGAAAAAAAAAAAAACCAATTTAGGCATTAGTGGCCAGCACAACATGCTCGGCTGACTACCATAATGACTTTGACCCTTAGGGTTTGGGATGTGTGCCAAACTGGCATTTATTATGACCAAGATAACAGAAGTCACGTCAGGCTGGCTGTCTCCACTGGGTCCCCATTACGTCTTTGTTATAGCCTAGAAAGGGGGCACAGGAAGATGACAAGTGGTTTCCTTCTCTTGTCTCCTTTTAAGCAAGAGACACAGTATGGCACACATAACTTCCCTCATGGGAAAGAGCTTGGTTATATTGCAAAGCCTAGCTGCTAGAGAGTGTGGGAAATGTAGTCTGGGTGGCTTCATGTCCACCTGAAACTCCAAGGGTGTTCTCTTCCTAAAGGAAAAGGTGAGCGTGAACATTGGAGCGCACTGGTAGTAGTCTGTCCCTCCCTGTGTGTTTGTCACGTTGGATGCTGAGCTGTTGAAGTTATCCAAGATGTTAAGGCTCCTAAAGCAGCACGAACAAATACAATGGAAACCTTCCACGTGATTTTAAATTAACATGAGAAACACATGAAATCATTTCATTTTGATTTTTTTTTTTTTTTTTGCAGCACAGAGAATCAAACCCAGGACATCATATGTGTTAGGCAGGCACTTTGCCACTGACTTACATTCCCAGGATACAATTCATGCTGGGCACAGTGGTGCATACCTGTAATCCCAGCGGCTCTGAGGCTGAGGCAGGAGGATCATGAGTTTGAAGCCAGCCTCGGCAATTCAGTGAGACCCTGTCTCTAAATGAAAAAATGAAAAGGACTGGGGGTGAAGCCCAGTGGTTAAGCATTCCTGGGTTCAGTCCCTGGCACCATAAATAAACAAACTAATAAATAAAATGTGTTAGTAAGATATTTTGCATTCCTGTTTTGGGTCCTATGTCTTTGACCTCTGATGTGCATTTCAAACTTATAATACACTTCTCAACTTATACTTGTCACATTTCATTTTTTTTCCCTGTGATGGGATCCTGTTATGTTGCCCAGGCTGGCCTTGAATTCCTGGGCTCAAGCAGTCCTCCTAACTGAGCCTCCTGAGTTGCTGGGACTATAGGTATACATTGCTATACCCAGCTTGGTTTTTACTGTTTTCAAACAAGGCTGCTTATGAACATTCTTTTTTTTTTTTTTTTAATTTTTTAGTTGTAGATGGACACAATATCTTTTTTTATTTGTTTGTTTTTATGTGGTGCTGCGGCTTGAACCCAGTGCCTCACACCTGTAAGGCAGGCGCTCTACCACTGAACTACAGCCCCAGCCCCTGAACATTCCTTTTTTTTTTTTTTTGTACTGAGGATTAAACCCAGGGGTGTTTAACCACTTAGCCGCATCCCTAACCCTTTTTTTTTTTTAAATATTTTTTAGCTGTCAATGGACCTTTTATTTATTTATATGTGGTGCTGAGGATCGAACCCAGCGCCTCACACTTGCTAGGCAAGTGCTCTTACCGCTGAGCCACAATTCCAGCGGCCCCCCCCTTTTTTAAAAATATTTTTTAGCTGTCAATGGACCTTTTTTTTATTTATTTATTACCCTTTTTAATATTTTATTTAGACACAGGGTCTTTCTAAGTTGCTGAGACTGGCTTTGAGCTTCTGATCCTCCTGCTTCAGCCTCCTGGACTGCTGAGATTAATAGGTGTGTGCCACCGCACCTGGCTTATGAACATTCTTGTGTGTGTCTCTGGAGTAGGTGTCCAAGAATTTTTCTAGAGTGTAAACCTAGGATTAGAGCTGGGTCTGGGTTGTGAGCACTTCATATTGAATAGGTGTTGCCCAGTGGCGCCCCAAGGCCGTCATGCCAGTTTGTGCTCCAACAGAGTGCAGGCACGAGGACCTAGAGCCCTCATCCCACTGACACTTGGGGCTGCAACCTTAGCCTTTTTGCCTGATGGGAGTCCTCTTGCCTTGGGCCTTTTAGGAGGCTACAAACAAGAAGATGGAGCAGGTGAGACAGGAATACACGGAAATGAAGATTCTCATTGAGGCCTCCGAGGCCAGCGCCACACGCAAGCTAAAAGAAGAAGAGAAGAGGGTTGTCAACAAGTTTGACTCCATTTACCAGATTCTCCTCAAGAAGAAAAATGAGATCCAAACCCTGAAGGAGGAGATCGAGAGCAGCCTGGTGAAGAGGGACGAGTTCGAGTTTCTTGAGGTGGGTGTGTCAAAGACCCCTTCTGCCAGTTTGTGCTCCCACAGAGTGCAGGCAGGATACCTAGAGCCCTCACCGGGGTGTGGTTACAGATGCACCTGGAGCATTGGAAGCATCCCCGAGACACCTGCTGTGTTCATTTTCTCGCTGAGCCACAACTTATCCCAAACTGAGGCGCTTAGGAGAATTTATATTTACTCTGAGTTTCCCTGGCCCAGGATCTGGGTATGACTTTGTGACTTGTCTGCTTAGGGTCTTTCAAAGTCACAGTCTGGGTGTTGGCTGGACTGTATTGATTTGGAGCTTAGGGTTATCTTCCAGGTTCACCTGTTGTTGGCAGAATTTACTTCCTTATAGTTGTACAATTTAGGCCCCTATGTTCTTCCTCCCCCCCCCCCCCCCCCCTTCCTTCCTTCAATTGAACCCAGGGACACTTTAACCACTGAGCCACATCCCCAGCCCACTTTTGTTTTTTTTTTTATTTTTTATTTTTTGTAGTTGTAGATGGACAGAATGCCTTTAATAAAGACGGGGTCTCACTGAGTTGCTTAAGGCCTCATTAAGTTGCTGAGGTTAGCTTTGAACTCAAGATTCTCCTGCCTTAGCCTCCCGAGCCACTGGGATTACAGGGGTGAGCCACCGTGCCCGCACTACTTTAGTGCTGGCTGTCCGCCGAGGCCTTCTCTCAACTTTGCAGTTTATTATGTCAAGTCAGCAGGAAAATTTCCCGAGTCCCTGTTCCTCTTTTAAGGGCTTTTTTTTTTTTTTTTTAATATTTATTTTGTAGTTGTTGGACACAATACCTTTTTTTAAAAAAAATATTTATTTTTTAGTTGTACTTGGACTCAATATCTTTATTTATTTTTATGTGGTGCTGAGGATTGAACCCAGGGCCTCCCGTGTGCTAGGCGAGCGCTCTACCACTGAGCCACAACCCCAGCCCCTTTTAAGGGCTTTTATCTGCAGCTGCCTGGCCTGTATGAGAAAGGCTCAGTCCACATCTATCTGGTCCCTTTGGTACTATAGGACTCAACTTAGTGACTCTCCTTTCCCAGCGAAGCATCCCTGTCCATCATCAGGTCTGGGATTAGGGCTGCTTCTCTAGAGAGGAAAGGTCCTGTGTCTTCTGTGCTTTGACAGCCACACCTGGCAGAGCGGACGTACCTCAGGAGACCTCTGTCCCAACTGAGTTTGTGCCACCCGGTCACACATAGGTGTGACCATACACACATAGGTGGTGTGGGCAGGCCACTTGTCATGTCTAGACCTCAGTTTCTCCATCTGTAAGAGGAGTGTCCTTTGAGATCTATTCTAGCTCTAGGTCTTAAAGGGGTACTTTAAAGCCTGGTGACCTTGGACCTGAAATTTGAGCAGGCCTGTTGGACTTCAAACCTGCAATCACAGGAAGCTGCTCAAGGGATCGGTGAGGACTGAGCTCAGGTGCTGGCTTCCCCGGAGCTACCTGCCCTTAACCTCTTGGTTTGTTGCAGAAAGCGTCAAAACTGCAAACAGTCTCTACGAAGCCAGTCTACATCCCCAGGGTGGAGCTGGACCATGAGCTGATCAAGGGTGTCTACCAAGGTGCCGTAGAGGTCAAAAACCAGCTAAGGCAGTCCCTGGCACAGTCCCAGGAGAAGAAGCCCGAGGAGCCCATCAGCTCAGGTAACTTCAGCAGCAACCACGCAGAGTCCTGAACCCTGTGGGTCTCTGCCTCAGAGTGGGAGAGGGGGCATGGTCCAGAGCTTGGGAGCACGTTTCAGAGGTCCCGAAACAGCTGCCTGAGATTAGAGGAGTCTCTGCTTCATCCTGACATCATAGCTACCCCTTTAAAAAGACTTGGGAGCTCTATGATCTGATGGGATTCTTTGGATGGGCTTCTTTTTGTCTGATCTTGAGGCCAACTCCGATAGGTTTTGAATGGATGCTGATTGTGAGTGTGTTTGGTGGGGAAGTGGCTAGTTTGGGGGTCAGAGAAACTGGAATTCCCCCTTGACACCCCTTTTCTTCCCCCATATCCAATCCATAGCCAGATTTCACCTTTTTTTGAACTCAGGGGCACTCAACTACTGAGCCACATCTCCAGCCCTATTTTGTATTTTAGAGACAGGGTCTCACTGAGTTGCTTATAGGGCCTCGCTTTTGCTGAGGCTGACTTTGATCTCATAATCCTCCTGCCTCAGACTCCCAAGCTGCTGGGATCACAGGCATGTAGCACCTTGCCTGGCCTGTGTCTATTTCTTGTTGAAGCCTGGTCTGCAAAAGGAGGGAGGGGAGAGAGAAGAACTAGCAGGCAAGAAACTAATGCTGACAGAGCCTTCACTACCTGCCAGGAGCTGTGGTCTCATTCAGGGGTTCAATAAACCATGAGTGAGTTGGAGTCATCCCCATTGCCAAAGTTATAGAGGTCTCAGAGGTTGTAGAGATGAGTGACACACAGAACTGCTCCTTCTATTACCTTTTTATTCTCTCTTGCAAGTAATTGGACGGGAAGTCAGAAATAGCTGGTTATGCTGGGTGCCACGGTGCACATCTGTTTCCCAGAAACTGGGGAAGATGAGGCAGAAATATCGCAAGTTCCAGACCAGCCTCGGCAAGGCCCTGTCTCAAAAAATTAAAAAGGGCTCTGTGGCATGTGCCTGTAATCCCAGGGGATCCGGAGGCTGAGGCAGGAGGATCTCAAATTCAAAGCCAGCTTCAGCATCTTATCGAGGCACTGAGCAACTCAATGAGGCCCTGTCTTCTAGATAAAATATTTTTAAAAAGGGCTGGGATGTGGCTCAGTGTGGTTAAGGGCCCTTGGGTTCAATCCCTATTATCAAGAAAGAAGAAGAGAAGGAGGGAAGGAAAGACTGGCTGGCTGTATAAATGCTCTCTTCTCCCTCCATGGCAAAGTTGGCTTCTGAGGTTGGGGTGGGAGGAGGAGCCACATACATTCAGTCCTTCTCTGGCACAGATGACTCTGGAGACCGTGGCACCCAGTCTACAAACAAACCCTCGAACCCTGGGAAAAAGTCCTCACGTAAGTAGCCCCACCTCGTTCCTGGCGTCTGCATGGCTGTGACTGGCTGGTGCTTTGGCTGACACAGGGGTCATCACTCCTTCCAGATGGCCGTAGCTCATTCCACACCACCACAGGGCCTGGGGCCTCTGTTGGATACAAGTTTGGCTACAGACCCAGAGGAAGGGCAGTGCAGGGCTGCACTGCTGCAGGAGTGCTCTTGGGCCAGGAAGGAGGGCTTGTCCACCTGCATTGGATATTTGGGCTGTCTGGAATGGAAGGTTATCAAAGCTGGTGTTTGTTTAAAAACATTGGCTACACCCAAGTCCTGCTGGCCTTTGGACAGAGCCCTAGAGGAGATGAGATGGACCGTGTCCTGATGAGCAGAGGAGGCCATACTCTCTCAGTCTTTGCTCTGTAATATGCTTCAGCATTTCTTGCCCCTTTTCAATATTGCCCCTCTCCTTCTCCTCCACTGAGCCAAGTTGGAAAAATGACAGAATGACACTCTAGAAAATTTTCAGAGCCTTGGAAGTTAAACTCAGGAATGAATTGAAGTTCTTCTATGTTGAAAGCGGCTCAGAATAAACTGGCTGATGTGAGGGAGTAGGTAGGGAGAGAGCAGACCTGTCACTGTGTGTAAAAACACCTGAGAGAGGTGACTATCGGGAAGGAGCCTGTGCCTTAGGCTGCGTCCCAAGGTGCTGGTCTTTGGGGAGTGGGTTGGGGAGGGGTAGAGGTGAGGAAATGGGGCTCCTGAGAGAGACTGTGAAGTGTGTGGGAAAGGGGGCATGGAGCCATGTGGGGCCCAGGGGATCTGGCGAGGGGTGGGGGGTGGGGGGGTGGAAGCCATCCGGAGAAGCTCAGCCTGTCTGTATGTAAAGTATCCCTGGCAGTATTTTTCCAGTGATGGGCAAGGTGACAGAGGGATGGATCCTTCTAGAAGCCCACTTGAATGTGCTCTGGGATCACTTGGGGCTTGCACACCACAGATGTCTGGGTCCCACCCCTGCACTTTCTTGCGGGTCTGGGGTGGGGCCCAAGATTTTGCTGGCGTTTTTTACAGGATACTAGGTGACACAGGTACTGCTGGTTTGGGAACCACACATGGAGAATCAGGGTTTTAGTCCACTCATTTCCTATAGGCATACACTCCAAATATTTTTTTTTTTTTTAGGTGTAGATGGACACAATCTTTATTTATTTTTATGCAGTGGTGAGTGAGGATCAAACCCAGCCCCTCACATGTGCTAGGCAAGTGCTCTACCACTGAGCTACAACCCCAGCCCAAATATTTTTAAAAGACTGTTGTGATATTTGATAAGTTTTATTTTGAACAGACTTCTTGTTTCTTTGTTATTTTAAGCTGTAGATAGACACAATACCTTTATTTTTATGTGGTGCTGAGGGTAAAACCCAGTGCCTCATGCCTGCTGGGCAAGCGTTCTACCGCTGAGCTACAACTCCAGCCCCTTAATTTTTGTTTTGTTTTTGCAATACTGGGGGGTTGAACCCAGTGGCACTCTTGTCACCAAACTATACCCCCAGCCCTCTTTTATTTATTTATTTATTTTTGGTACTGAGGATTGAACCCAGGGGCACTTTACCACTGAACCACATCCCTAACCCTTTTTTATGTTTTATTTACAGACAGGGTCTCACTTAAGTTGCTTAGGGGCTCACTAAGTTGATGAGACTGGCCTTGGAACTTGCCATCCCCCTGTTTCAGCCTCCTGAGAGTATAGACTATATTATTTAGAGACAGGGTCTTGCTAAGTTGCTGAGGCTGGCTTTGAACTCATGATTGTCCTTCCTCAGCTCCTGAACCACCGTATTTACAGGTGTGCACCACAACACCCAGATCTTTAAAAAAATTAAAACATCCCAGCTTTATTTGAAGTGTTATGGCTTTGTGCTTTAAGATAGATCAATTGTGAAATTTTCTTTTTCAGAAGAAAAGAAAACCAAGAAACACAGTAAGTTGGGTTCACCCCTAGCTTCTAGCACTGACATTGGCGCTACTGCTGCCTCTGCCTCGTCCAGCCAGACTTTCATCTTCGGAGCCCCTGGACAGTCAGTGGAAATAAAATCATCCCTGGATGGTGCGTCATCGTGACCAAGGGCCAGTGGGGTGTCCGCTCTGAATTTGCCCTGAAAACTGCTCTCTGTTTCCTCTCCCAGATGCAGCCAAAACCACCACCTTGCCAAGTGCCGTGACCATCAAGACCAAGGTGCTGGAAAACTTCTTAGCCAAGACCAGATCTGAGCTCTTAGAGTGTGAGTAGCTTGGTGGTGGGAACGGAAGAGCCGGTGAGGGGGTGAGTGGGGGGATCCAACAATCTAATAGGTAGTATCAGGGGAAGATCTAGGAGTGAGAGCTTGAGGGGACCCCTCGTAATTCCCAGCTTGGGGTGGTGTCTTCTCAGATTTTGTTAAGGTCATCTTGGACTACAACACCGCCCACTACAAAGTGGCTCTGACCGAGAACTACACCACCGCCTCCGTGGCCGATGCGCCCCAGATGTACCGGCCGCACCCCCAGCGGTTCATGTACTGCTCTCAGGTGCTAGGTCTGCACTGCTACAAGAAAGGGATCCACTACTGGGAGGTGGAGCTGCAGAAGAACAACTTCTGTGGGGTGGGCATCTGCTATGGCACCATGGACCGCCAGGGTCCCGAGAGCCGTCTGGGCCGCAACAAAGCCTCCTGGTGCGTGGAGTGGTTCAACAACAAGATCTCCGCCTGGCACAACAACACGGGGAAAACGCTGCCCCCCACCAAGGCCACGCGGGTGGGCGTGCTCCTCAACTGTGACCACGGTTTTGTCATTTTCTTTGCTATCTCTGACAAGATCCACATGATGTATAAATATGTCGTGGACTTCACCGAAGCTCTGTACCCGGCCTTCTGGGTGTTCTCGGCGGGTGCCACGCTCTCCATTTGCTCCCCAAAGTAGGCAGGCCCTTGGGCCGGCTGCCTGAGGAGCACTCAGGTGGGACTCCTTGGAGAACTTCCCTGAGTTCCCTGGGAGGATGGGGAGGGAGCCAGTGGGAGGGTGGGAGATGGGATGGGAGGAAGGAGGTAGCCAGGGGAAGAGGGTGGGGTGATTGTGTTGTGGATAGGAAGCTTTTCCTTCTACTTCCTGGTGCCCATCTGGGCAGGGCCACCTCCTTCTGACTGTTTCAGGAAATCTCCAGGCTGCTGGGGAACCTGGGTAGAGTTTTGGGAAGTCAAGTCATTAGTGCCCCAATTGCTCTTGCGGAAGACATATACTACTCATGGCAGTTTCCTTCTTAAGCCAGGGGCTGACTCCTGCTCTCTGGGGTAGCCTTCTGACTTCTAGAGTCATTGAATTTCGATATATATATTTTTTTCTCTTTTCGGTGCTAGGGATTAAACCCAGAGCCTCGCACATGCTAAGCCCAGGTTCTGTCACCGGGCCACACACCCAGGCTGAATTTCAATATTATATTCTCTCAGCTCTCTGCATGTTAGGCTCTGTCTCCTGGCTGTTATCTGTGCTGGAGGGAAACCATGGGTAGCCGTTCTCCACCTGGACCAGAGTGTCCCAGGGAAACAGTGGTTTCCCTCCGGTGAAGGACAGCCCTGCTTCCCGCCTTATCATGTTCCCTTCATGACCCCATCCATGATTTTAAAATCTTCATTTGAGGGCTGGGGGTGGGGCCCAGCATGATAGCACTTGCCCCTGGGTTTGATGACCAGCCCCCCCCCCCCCCAAAAAAAAACGTTCAGTTGAACAGCCTGTGTTGAATTTGTGGTTGAGGGAAGGTCAAGGTGACCCAGATCTACTTGGAATGGATATCGCTTCCAGCCTTAACAAGGGACATCTGGTCAAAAGCTTTGTCTGTTGCTGCAGAGCCTTGCTGGAGGTCTTGTTTCCTCCAATGGCTTGGGCTACATGGCAAGACGGACCCTGGCCTGGGTTAACAGAGGTGGGGTGGCTTTGCTCTTACAACGGCATCTTGCCATGACAGCTCTCCTTGGCAGTAGCATTCCCTCCCCCACAGTGTAGACATTGGACTGCCTGCTGCAGATGCCACTGTGGCTAACTCAGCCACGCACCCAGCCACAGCAAGCATCTGAAGTCCGCCACCACCATTCAGGCCATGCATGGCTGCTGCATGGACCATACTCAGTCACCTGTTGGGGTGGCTACCTATGACCAAAGGGCCTTTTAGCAGGCCCAGCAGGAGATGGCAACATTCCCATTTATTCCTGGCCATGGGCTACAGACACAGCTCTGGCCCTCTCCTCAATCCTGTTGTTGCCCTTGGTTCCTTCTGCTATCTTCCTCATTTGAGCCCATTCCAGATACTCAAATTGACCAGGTTAGAGGTCAGGAAGACTTGTTTGAGGATCAGGGGAGGAATGAGCTAAAGAGGGTCAGATAAGTGGCTATTTTCCCTGTAGTGTTTTATGCAGTGAAAATAACCCAGTACATTAAGGGGCAGGAGTGAACGGATTTCAGAATTTCCCCCAAACTCCTTGTATCCTGCTGTCAGGATGGAAGTTTCAACCCCAAAAATGTGAGGGGAGCTTCCTGAGTCTGGCTTCTTAAGAAGTCACCACTGGGGAAAATAGGGACTCCAGACCTTATATATAGATATTTGAGAATTTTAACACATCTCAGGCCTTGTGCTGGAATTCCTGGGAGACTCCAAGCAGCACTTGAGATTCCTGACAGATGTATGATCCATCATCTCCCAATGATCTCCATTCCTTGGGAGAAAAGATAATCGTCTTAGGGAAGATTTCCCTGCCATAGCTGGTATGTGTGACTTTCAAAGTTTTCTTACTGGCTGGGCATGTTGACACATGCCCGTAATCCCAGCGACTTGAGAGGCTGAGGAAGGAGGATTGCAAATTTGAGGCTAACTTTAGCAACTTAATGAGTAACTTAGCAAGACCTCAGTAACTTGGCAAGACCTTGTCTCAAAGTAAATGAAAAGGGCTGGGGGTGTAGCTCAGTGGTAGAGCACCCCTGGGTTCAATCCCTAGTACCCTCCTCCCCCCAACAGAAGTTTTCTTCCTTGCTACATAGAAGAAAAGTTCTTTGAAGCTTCTCTACTTCAAAGGTGTTCACAAGTATCTTTGTTGATCTGGAGTCAATGCATACTTGAGAAACAGCTGGGCTCAGAGGAGTAGAAAGTGCAAGAAGAATCCAGGACTCCTGCTAGGGATCTCCTCTGCAGAAATGAGGGGGCGCTTCATGGCAAATGAGCAACAGGAGTCCCTCTGCATGAGAGCCATCTAGGTGACTAGTGCTTAGCTCTGTGCAAGGTCGTTGGAGATGTGACCTGAGGAGTGCGTGTTAGCTGTCCTGACCCACCCACTCCATTTGCTGTGGTAAAACTTTACATTATCCAGCCTTGCGGGGCCACTGCGTGCACTGAAGACCCTAGAGTGGGTATCCATCTGTCTTCTCATTTTTCAGAATAAGATGAGAAGGTAGAGGATGACTGTTCTGCACTTGTACCATTCCATCATGGAGGAAATAACTCCTCACCTGTGTGATGGGGAAACCCTGGTATCCTGCAGAAGTATCCAAAATTCCCAGAAATACTAACATGAAATCAAAATCCTATCTTAGTCGGAGATACTGGGAACTGGCCTCCATCACCCTGGTCATGATAAACCAAAGGTTAAGGTCAGGTCTTTGTGTTATTCAAGACTGCCTGGCCAGTTATGTCTGTTTTAATTACTCTTCAATCAAACTGTGATCTGTATCTAATACTGATATGTTATCTCTTACCTGACTCCCCCACACCCTTACTGATTTTAATTAATGTCTGTCATTTTTTGAAAAAAATTTTAGTTGGTTCTTTTTATGTGTGTAGGTGGGTACTAGGGATTGAACCCAGGGGCACTTAACCACTGAGCCACATTCCCAGCCATTTTTACTTTTAATTATGGGATAGGGTCTTGGTAAGTTGCTTAGGACCTTGCTGTGTTGCTAAGGCTGGTCTTAAACTTTTGATCTTCCTGGCTTGGCTTCCTGAGTCACTGGGATTACAGGCTTGTGACACTGTACCCAGCTTTATTTTATTCTTTAAGAACATACAGCTAGGGGACTGGGGTTGTGACTCAGTAGTAGAGCACTTGCCTCATACCTGTAAGGCCCTGGGTTCAATCCTTAGCACCATGTAAAAATTGTGTCCACCTACAACTAAAAATCTAAAAGAAAAATAAAAAAAAGGAAAAAGAAAATACAGCTATAAACGGGGCTGATGCGTCTTAGAAATTTTGAATGCAATAAAGTGTTTGGTGTGTATTTTCTCGCACCTTGGTGCAGACAGGTAAAAAACAATCCTGTCCATCATGCTGGACTCAACAGATGATGTGTACCATGCCTGAAGGCTACCGCCAAGTGGCCCATTTGTCCAGATTCCACCCAGCCACTCCCAGACCTCTGAGTCCTGGATAAAGAGTTCTCAGACTGATAGAATGTCTGATCTCGGCTTCCGGAGAATGCCAGGGTGAAGGATCAATGAAAGGATAAGCCACACAAGAAAAATGGGCGAATGGTGTTGCAAATGGAGGGCTCACTGTTTTCTTCTTTCTACTGTTGCCTACATTTCAAAAAATTGCGTAATTAAAGTGAAGCAGAAAACAGCCCAGATCATTTTGCAAGCCCTGTTTTAGTGGGTTTTAACCTTGTTTGGGTAGGAGGTGTGCATTCGAAGTTATTGTATATTAAAGAATTTAACTGGCTTTTCTTCCTGGTTACTCAGAGGAGGGATTTGAAATCTTTGGAATTTTCTGAGTAGGAGGAGTGTCTGTTGTTTCCGAGCCCCTTGGATGGCACCTGAGTTTGTACTAAGAAATGAGATGACTTAGGATGTGATGAGAGGGTTGGGCCCTTGAGCCAGCTGATTCAAGGAGGGGAGGGCAGGGCAGGGGTCCTGGGGATAGAGTTCAATCATGTGGCCAATGATCCAGTGATTTACTCAGTCCTACCTACATAATGGAATTCCAGTAAGATACCTGGACACAGATGCTCGGTGGACTCCCGGGTTGAGCACCTGGCTGGGCTGGGAGGATGAGGGGCCCTGATTCCATGAGGACATGGCAGGGAAACTTTGTATTTGAGACACTCCCAGACTTTGCCCTGTATTTTTGTCTGGTTCTGATTTGTCCTTTATAAATAAAATTGTAATAAATATAATGCTTTCCTGCTTCTGTTGTTACTTGACCCTAATCTTGTACTTCTTAGGTGAGCCAGCTGAATTTCTGCCCCCTCTATATAATCTTTTTTGTCTTTGAGGAACGGATACTTGTGTTATACTCCAGGCTCTATGGGCAGTGACCAAACAGACTGCATTTTACCCTGAGACTCCATGTCATACAAAAGATGCTTCTCCCTTGGGATCACCCCGCCTCTGTACTTATCAGCAGTTGCTTAGTATAGCATGTTTGGCAACACAAAATGGCAGTTCTTATACAATGTAAAATTGTTCTGTTTTTGTTTCCCATTTTTCTTGGGCAATGTACCCTGTCAGAGAATGTTTGGACGTGAGTAAACATTTTTTCACTTGTACTTAACACAGGGTCATTTTGACCCACTTCCCCTTCTGCTTATGATTTTAGATCTCATGATGTTTGTTTCTGGCTTTGAATCATAGCAACAGCCACTTAAGATTAATGTGGTTTTGGAATATAAAGGTGCGCTCCAGGAGGTCAAAGGGTGTAGACCCTGCCCCTGGGCCCTCCAGCTGCGGAATCCCTAACACTAGCAGGGGAATAAAGATGGTTCCATTTTCTGCTCTAAGATTGACTCAGGTGATTTAGAATAATCTCACCATAACACCTGCAGGCTAGAAGTTCCTCTTCACGTAGGCTTGCCAAAACTGGGTGGATCTAAGATAACTGCTAGAATGATCCCAGACAACCTCTAACTTGATTTATAATCCCATTTGCATGCTAAATGACACCCCCCACAACGCACCATGAGCACCATGACAGTTGACAACTGCCAACTGCCGTGAGGATGACTGAAAAGAACTATGAAAGGAGGGAAATGAGGTGGTCCTAGAATTCCCAGATTGTCCCCAGCCACCCCCAGAACATCAGTAAATTTTGTTCCCATTTATTGGCTCTTCCTCTCATGTCCTTCACCCTCTATCTGTAGCCTCCTGACCCCCGACTTCTCTTCGCCAGGAATGAATCCCTCGGGGCTCAATATGCATCCATCTTATTGGTTCCACATTCTCAGAGAGACAAAGGACCCCGTTTAGGATCAAATATTGGTGACACTGCTCTCTAGCGAATTACTCAATCTGAGGGAGGTCACAGTAATCTCCTGGCCTGGGATCCCCAGAGTGGGGCTGATGTGTGAAGTGAGGACCATCTTGGGCTCTATCCCTCTCCTGTGGCACCTGATGTAACTCTGGGTGGCTATAGGCCCATTGTACTGCAGTACACCTGTCAGAACAGATGATGGGACCAGCTAGCTTTGAATAAGCCCCTTTGACCAACCTGTCAGAACAAAGTCTGCTGGTGTGTGTGTGTGTGTGTGTGTGTGTGTGTGTGTGTGTGCATGCACTCTTAATACTGGGGGTTGAACCTGTTATGGCTTAGATGTGGTGTCCCCCAGAAAGTCATGTGTGGGATGATGCAAGGTTTGGAGGAGAAATGATTGAACTCTAGCATTAACCTAACCAGCAAATTAGTCTTTGATGGGATTAACTGGGTGGTGGCTGGGGGCAGGTGGGGTGTGGCTGGAGGAAGTGGTCCATTGGGGGCGTGCCTATGGGGTATATATTTTGTATCTAGAGAGGGGAATCTCTCTCCCCCTCCCTCCCTCCCTCCCTCTCCCCCTCCCCCTCCTCTCTCCATTCTTCCCTCCTCCTCCCCTGTCTCTCTCCTTCCTGATCATGTGAGGTGCTTTCTTCTGCCATGATGTTCTGCCTCACCTCAAACATCTAGGAATGGAGCCAGCCTTCTATGGACTAAGACCTCTGAAACCGTGAGCTATCAAATTTTCTTTCCTCCTCTACAGTTGTTCTGGTCAGGTCTTTGAGTGGCAGAAGCAAAAAAGCTGATTAAAACAGGATCCCCGGTGTGCTTTACCACCTAGCTATATCTACCTCTTGTCCATTTTTTTTTCAATTTTTATTTATTTATTTATTTTTTAATATCTTTAGTGTTTAGTTGTAGATGGACAATACCTTTATTTATCTTTATGGGGTGCTGAGGCTCGAACCCAGTGCCTCACACATGCTAGGCAAGTGCTCTACCACTGAGCCACAACCCCAGCCCCTTACTTGTTATTTTTAATGTTTTATGTTGAGACAGGTTCTTGCTAATTTGTGGATGCTGGCCTGGGACTTGGGATCTGCCTGCCTCGGCCTCCTGAGTCACTGGGATGACAGGTGTGCGTGCTGTTCTTTAATGTCCCATGTTTTCTTCTCTCTCATCCCCGCCTCCTCTTGCAGCTTTTTCTCCTCACTATAGCCACAAAAGTGCTCAGAATGTCAGTGACAGAATGGCCCTCCCATTCAGAGATAGCACTTCCAGTGGCCTGGGACACTTTCTAATTTCTAAGGACATTCAGGGTAGGGCTGGGGATATAGCTCAGTTGGTGGAGTGCTTCCCTCACACGCACAAGGCCCCAGCACCACACACACACACACTCACACTCACACACTCACACTCACACACAGTTCAAGGTAGTAATCTATGACTCCTTAGTAAAACACAGCCAAGCTGGGAGTGCTTGTGTATGGGTGGGGGGCTATTTCAAAGTCCCCTGTGGTCTCTTGGAGTGGTCCACTGGCCAGGGTTGAACTGACTCTCTCATGGGTCTTACATGTTTTCCCACCAGTTCTCCCTTCCTTCCTTCCTTTTCTTTCCTTCTCCCTCCTTCCTTCCTTACCTTTTTTTTTTTTTTTTAATGGGGAATTGAACCCAAGGATCCTTAACCACTGAGCCACATCCCCATCCTTTTTTTTTTTCTTGAGACAGGTTCTTGCTAAGTTGCTTAGAGCCTAGCTAAGTTGCTAAGGCTGGCTTTGAACTAGAAATCTTTCTGCCTCAGCCTCCTGAGCTCCTGGGGTTACAGGTGTGAGCCACTCCATCCAGCCCCAGGTGGTCTTGCGATGTCTGTAACATCAGGAATAATGGATGGATCCCCAGTTGTCATTGACCTTGGAGTGCTAGGCTACTCCCATTGTATTGACTCCAATCCCAACACGCTTACTTCCCGGAGCCTAAAACAGCAGGTCTAAGAGTGAAGGGGAGGGAAAAGAGGCACCGAGAGAGGCCTGTGGAAAGGGAGAACGTGGCACAGATGCATGAAAGAAGAAAATGGGGGTCTCTCAGCTGATTGGGCCTGACGGACTCCATCCTGGCGCTCTCTGACTCCATTCCAAGGCTTCAGTGCTTTTTCTCTGAGCCACTTCCTCTTGCAATTATCTGCATTCCAGGAATAGGCCTGATGGATAAGCATCACTCTGACAAAGGACTGAAACTACTTCAAAGCAACAGCCTGGAAGCACAGTTCAACCCACCATAGACATGATGAGACATCTCCCGGAGCCTGAGCAGTGATGCCATATCAGAGCCGAGGTTGCCCCCTGAGCAGGAGTAATCTTCTCGTGATCAGAACAGAACCATCCCTCCAGCCATGGTGACCTTTCCAGAGCCATACAGAACCAGTCCTGAGATAATGATCAACCAGAATGACCTGACCAGGACGACCTCCCCAGCAGCTATGCAAACCTCCTTCATTGCCCTTTTCTGTAAAACCACAAAGTTTCTGTCAGTCCCTGGAAGACAGATCTTTGGTCACTGTGCCCCAGTGTCGGTTTGTCCCAGTGTGGCTGTGTTGAAAAACTCCTTTCCTTGGCTGAGCTGGGGATGTCCTTCCATGGTAGAGCACTTGCCTGGTATGTTGCAAAGCCCTGGGTCCCATGGAGAGAGAGAGAGAGAGAGAATGCTCCAGAGCCAGTTCTCCCTTTCTCACCCTTCACCACGATTCATCTCTTTGATTGGCATATAGGGACAAGTGGCCAAGTTTGTCTCTTGGCACCCCCAGGGCCAGTGTCTTTGCCCAAGGACACTAGTAACAGTGCTCGATTTCAGCCATGCTGTCTCTGTGACAGAGTCGGCTTTCACACCACTGTTTGTAGAATTGATTTTGGTTGACAATGGCATCCTGAGAACTCACCCCTTAGTCCCTTCTGCAGGTGGCCTCCCGGTTCTATGCCTCTCCATTCTTGGGCTGGGGCCTGTAGGCGATTCCAGCATGGAGGGAACATACTGGGTAGGTCCTCCTGCCTGGCGCAGCAGGGTGATCCCTGAACCTTGTGAGCTTCAAGTTTTCCTTCAGATCTTAACAGCTGACTAAAATCATCTTGATGTGCTTCTGCTGTTTCCACATTTCCTAAAAACAAACACAGAGTACAGCAGTGTGGTACACTGGGCGTGGTGGCACACCCTTGTAATCCCAGTGACTCAAGAGGCTAAGGCAGAGGATCACAAGTTCAAGACCGGCCTGGGTGATTTAGCAAGATCCTTTTTAAATAAAATTTAAACTAGGGTTTAATCCCTAGTACCAGAAAACAAAAGCAAAGTACAGCATTGTTAGATGCCACCCTGAGCTGCTTACGGCCGACTCTGCCTCAACTGGTGGCGGCATGAGTGAGGGGATTTCAGGAGAGCACAAGAATTCTGGAGCCTGATGAACGTGGGTTTGCAATCTGGGTCTTCTAACCAGCTGTCCATCTCTGGGAAAGACTGAACCTGTCTAGGCTGTTTTTTTTTTTTTTTTTGGTCCCAGGGATTGAACTCAGGGGCACTTGACCACTGAGCCACATCCCCAGACCTTTTTTTTTTTTTTTTTTTTTTGTATTTTACTTAGAGACAGAGTCTCACTGAGTTACTTAATGCCTTGCCATTGCTGAGGCTGGCTTTCACAATCCTCCTGTCTCAGCCTCCCGAGCCTCTGGGATTACAGGCGTGCACCAACATGCCTGGCTCTAGATTGTTTTTGTAGCAGAGGATGGAGCTTATGACAGAGTTGTGGAGCAGGATGGGTACAGGCCAGGAATGGGTTCTTGTTCCTGGGTGTTGAAGAATAAAATACCTGTGGTGTGGAACCAAGGCAAGTGTAGAGCACAAGTTTTATTAAGAAAAAGATAGAGATAGATTTTTCCAGAGAGAAGGGGATGGGTGTCCATAGGAGGGGGTGAGATTGCTTCCCTATAGGCCCCAGAACCCCTCTTTATAATCATTCCCTTCTTTTTCTTCCCCGTGTGCGTGACTGGGAGCAGGAGTGCAAAGGTTCACTGTTAGCAGCGCTCTGATAACCAGTGGTCTCTCTTGATCCCCATCATTCATTACCTACACTGATTGCCTGACCTTTGCCCCTGCCTCAGTTTTCTGGGGAATGTGACATAACCTGTCCACTTAGGCCAGGGCTGCAGGCAAATTGCTTTTTGGCAAAGAAAGCATGTGGGGGTCAGCACCGTGGGCCCATTTTACAGAATTATTCTCTTCATGTTCCCACAATTTACATCTGCCTGTCCCCTAACACAGGCAGCTCATAAGGGACCATTAAGAAATGCTTGTGTCTAGATGGGTGCTGTGCTGCACTCCTATAATCCCAGCGCCTCCAGAAGCTGAGGTGGGAGGATTGCAAGTTCAAAGCCAGCCTCCTGGGTTCAATCCCCAGTACCAAACAAAAGTAAAATAAAGGTTATTTCTTTTTTTTTTTTTGTCCTCATTTCTCTCCTGAGCCAATTCTTTCTGAATTCATGGGCCAAGGGACTTTCTTACCTGCCTATCTTCCCCAGAAGCAGAGATTCATGCATTTATTGAGCACGGATCCCAGGCAGGTCACAGAGCCTCACCACCATAACAAAAGAAGAACTGGTAGCTCCTTTGTGGACAACCAGGAGTGATATCAGATAGCACTGGTGGGCAGATGGTAGAAAGGAGAGCAATTTAGTGGAACAAACACACCGACAAGTCTTTCGCTTAAAGAAAAGAGACACAGGGGCTCGAGTTGTGGCTCAGTAGTAGAGTGCTTGCCTCACATGTGTGAGGCACTGGGTTCAATTCTCAGCACCACATATAAATAAATGAATAAAATAAAGGTCCGTGAACACTAAAAAGTATTTTTAAAAAAGAGACACAGGTCTGGGGCTGGGGCTCAGTGGCAAAGCACTTGCCTAATACATGTGAGGCGCACTGGGTTTGATCCTCAGCACCACATAAAAATGAATACAGGTATTGTGTCCGCCTATAACTAAAAATATTAAAAGAAAAATAAGGAAAGAAAGAAAAGAAAAGAGCATTGGCTGATCCCCTAAGTGGAGAGTTAGTGAAAGGGCTGTTTGCAGGGCGGGTGGCGGGGGGGGGGGGGGGGGGGTAGGTTTAGGAATGTTCATCAGCTTTAGGTTCATTTCTAAGGGTGTGATTCCCTGTTCCTTGAACTCTGAGGTAGGCCTGCTCAGTGGGCCTTCAGGAGCGAAGATTAGCTTCTCATATCCTGCTGCGTTCTTTCTTTTTCTTTTCTTTTTCTTTTTTTTGTGGTTGAACCCAGGGCCTTGTGCATGCCGCACTCTACCAGCTGAGCTGTGTCCCCTGCCCCCTGATGCATTGTTATACACATCTCCGCCTGCAGTTAAGAGAACGCAAACCACAGTGAGTGAAATGTCAAGGGCCCTGAGAATTTGCTCTTTTGGTGGATCCTCAACAGTTTTTAATCCTTTCTGTTGTTTGTCCTCGTCGTCATGGCAACAGCATCCTGGCCCTAATGAGGCACCTGGGCTCTGAAGCTCATTTAAAGGGATGGCTAAGGCACATACCAAGCTTTCATTTATTAACTAATTTTTGCAGTACTGAGGATTGAGCCCAGGGGTGCTCTGCCACTGCATTACATCCCCAGCCCTTTTTATTTTTTGAGACAGAGTATTGCTAAGTTGCCCAGGTGGGCCTTGAACTTGCCATCCAGATGGAATTTTAGAGGTAAAAATGGCCCAAAAGCTAAAGCATTGAGCATGCAATTATTCCTTTACCTTCTCTGCCCACCCTGGCCTGCACTTGCACTTGGAGGGAAATTCAGCAGGAGGCTGCCTTAGAAATTGGGTCAAGGGACAGAGACGAAAGGCTGTTTTGTTCCACTGTGGCATATTGATGTTGTGAGCATTCCCTTCCTGGACTCACACCCTACACAACGTTCCTGCTTCTGAGGGCTCCTGACAGAGGTGACCCCCTCCCCCTCCCCTTTGTATTTGAACTTGGCCCTTCTTTCTGCCTCACTGTCTTCCCCATCTCCACATTCCATTTTCCAAACCACAGATAAGACTTTGCATCCCCAGGTTGTGCTGAGTCCTGTTTGGTGTCCTTGAACTTCATCCCTGATGTGGTATAGCCAAGTAGGCAGGCTTCTAAGGATCAGCCATAGGCCACTCCCTCCCTGCTCTTTCACCCCAAGAATCATTTCTGTTTTTTTGGCCTCGTGGAACTTCATTGATTTGTTCTTTTTAAAAAATATTTTTAGTTGTAGAGGGACACAATACCTTTATTTTGGTTTATTTAGTATTTTTTTATGTGGTGCTGGGGATCAAACCCAGTGCCTCATGCATGCTAGACAAGTGCTCTACCACTGAGCCACAATCCCAGCCCTAACTTGTTCTTTATATAAACACAAATTAAATATGTGGAAGAAATGTTAATGCTTTGGGGAGGATTAAGACTGACTAGAGCCCTTAGGAATGGAGTTTCCTATCCATGGAGGTGTAAGACAGACTGGGTGGGCTAGAGATGTGGCTCAGTGGAAGAGCACTTACCTGGCAGGTGTGAAACCCTGGGTTCAATTCTCAGTACTAGAAAAAAATTTAAAGGGAAAAAAAAAAAGGAGGCTGGTAGGCCACCCTGATGGGCTGTCCCCCTTTACTTCTCTCAAATCACTTCATTATTTTTCAAAGTGACACATGGTCATTATGAAGAATTAAAGCAGGACAGAAAATGAAGAAGACATTATCTCAGATGCTGCCATCTGGACAGAAATATGTCTCCTGGTAGATTCATAGACTTTTCTTAGACCTAGAGAGATGGCAGTAAGAGGGAATGATAGGCAGTCAGTGGCTTTGAAATCCTTCTGGATCACGGATCTCTGGCTATAGCTAGACCTCAGATTTCTTTTATTAGAACATGGCACGTGCGTTCACTCACACACACACACACACACACACACTCACATGTACACACATTCACAAACCCAACTTTGTACACAGTTTCAGGGGATTCATGAGAAGCCTCTGCCACAAGAATCATTGGTGATATTTGTGTATCCATGGGCAGGTACATTTAATTTCATAATGGAAACATTTCAGCAGCAGAAGATAAAACATGCATGCAATATTTTGACACATACCATACCCCCCCCAACACACACACACTCAAACTATTAAACTGAGCAAAACTAGCTCCTGTGACTTTTTCCATGAATATATATTTATTTGTTACTTGTTATGTGCCCAGTTATCAGCTGGCACTTTCTCTCCAGAAAGGCAAAAGCTTTAAAAATTTGAAAGAAGAAAAAACTTCCATTTAAGAAATTTCTACTGGCTATTTTTTAGTTTCCTTTTCCATGGATTAAAAACAGATCAGCACTAAAATACTGGGGCAGAGCAGTGTGGTAAGAGGAAAAGAACATGTTTGGATCCCAACTTTACCAGTCCCTCAAACTTGGCAAGTTACTGAACTTTCCTGAGCCTCAATTTCCTCACCAGTAAAATAGGAGTAATGACATTTTGGTGTCTATCACCATTAAATGGGATACAATAGTGCTTTGATATGCTCAATAAATAAATGCTTGCAGTGGTTGTTAAAATGATCATTATTCTATGCAGTCTTTAGACCATGGTATACAGTAAATGCTTCATTAATGTTAACTCCCTTAAAAAGCAGGGTTGTACCAGGTGCAGTGGCTCATGCCTGTAATCCCAGAGGCTCATGAGACTGAGGCAAGAAGATCGAGAGTTCAAAGCCAGCCTCAGCAACAGCAAAGTGCTAAGCAACTCAGTGAGACCCTGTCTCTAAATAAAATACAAAATAGGGCTGGGGATGTGGCTCAATGGTCGAGTGTTCAATCCCTGGTAACCACCCCCCCCCCCCAAAAAAAAAGGCAAGGTCAGTGCAGTATTCTGTGGTCACCATGGTAGGTGAAGGCTGTTGGGCTAGTTGGTAAGTTACTGCAGGATGAGAATTTCTCTTAGTCTGTTTTCTGTTGCTAATGAGACAAGCCATAGAGTGGATAAGGTTATAAAGAAAAAAGGTTAATTTGGGCAGCTGATTCTAGAGGTGCGTGGTCATGCCTCTGGTGCTAGCCTTCTTGCTGGTGGAGTCCCTAGGTGGCATGGGGCCTCACAAAACCCTGGACAGGGAGCATGTGGATGTGGCTTCTGTCTCAGCTGAGACAGGAGAGGAGAAATAAAAGGTAGAGAAAAGACAAAAGGAGGGAAAAGGAGGGAAAAGGAGACTGCAGCTTTCTTCTGAAAGCCTTGACCTTCCTTGACCTTGGCCTTCACTTGGGGGCCAATATGCCTCCCAGGCCTATAACTCCCCAAGCCGGTTTTTCTTTTCACTCTCAAATTTCTGGGAAATCTGTTCATCTTTACTCACAATCTTGAAGTCACTAGAAATTCACTTACTTAGGAAAATTGCCCTGTGCCATGTACGAATTTTGAGAATAGACTGAGCAAAGGGAGAGGTGATGGTTTAAGGAACCTTCACAGCGGGTACACTGCAAACATTATCTATGGATCAGACATTATCTATGGGGACAGTGTCAAAGATCCTGAGAACAGTCAGACCACCAGAACATCTTGTCATCACCAACTGATGTCCTCTCTAGAGACCTTCAACACCATCCCTCACAATGTTTCCTTTAAAAAAAGGAGGACTGAGCAGGGCAATGTGGCAGAGACCTGGGATCCTAGTGGCTCAGAAGGCTGAGGCAGGAGGATGGCAGGTTCAAAGCCAGCCTCTGTAATTTAGCAAGACCTTTAGCAACTTAGTAAGACTCTGTCTCAAAATAAAATATAAAAAGGGCCAGGGATGTGGCTCAGTGGTTAAGCGCCCCTGGGTTCAATCCCCAGGACCCATAAATAAATAAATAAATAAATTACATGCATATGTAAAGGAGGACTTGAGACTTCCAAGACGTGTCTCACTCTCAGACAGCCCATGTCTACCCTTGAATGTGTACTCCTTGCTTTCCAGAATAAATCTCTTCTTATGCCTCTGACACATCTTGCAGGGTTTTTTTTTTGGGGGGGGGTGGGTACTGAGGATAGAACTCAGGGACACTCGACCACTGAGCCACATCCCCAGCTCTAGTTTGTATTTTGTTTAGAGACAGGGTCTCACTGAGTTGCTAAGTACCTTGCCTTTGCAGAGGCTAGCTTCGAACTCTGTGATCCTCATACCTCAGCCTCCCGAGCCACTGGGATGACAGGCATGCACCACCGTGCCCGCACGAAGGGATTCTTGACATATACATGTTGTAGGAAAAAACTGCAGCCAGGCATGGTGGCACATGCTTGTCATCCTGGGGGCTCCAGAGCCTGAGACAGGAGGATCACCAGTTCAAAGCCAGCCTCGGCAAAGGTGAGGTGCTAATCAACTCTCTAAATAAAATACAAAATAGGGCTTGGGAGGGCTGGGGATTTGACTCAGTAGAGTGTTTGCCTCAAATGCACAAGGCCCTGAGTTCAATCCCTAGTACCCCCCCCAAAAAAAAAAAAAAATCCTGTTGTCCTGAATCCCCTCTCCTCCAAACCCCAGGGACCTCCTCAGACTCCCTCCAATGACAAAGGCACCAGTATTCAGTCACAGGAGGGGAGCTGCATCCTGATGACCTCAGTTTAGAGAACCAAATGACCTCTGAACACCATGGTTTAAG